AATAGAAGCTTCAAAATTTTTCCTCGAAGCAAATTTTCGAGAAAACCCCAGTTTGGCGTTTGTATTAGCAGATAGATTCAGATTTCCATATGTATACAAAGAATCATCAAAACTTGTTCTTGATATACTTCCAACATTTCATCAAACACAATATTTTCAACAACTTACACCACAAACTGGTCTTCTTCTCTTGAGTCGATATTTTGAATATGTAACATCAATTGGGAAATTAAAAAGTTTCGATGCACACTTAACATTCGAACATACCTGTGCAACACAATTTTCTACAGATAGATTGACACATGCTAAACAATTAAAACAAGACTTTTCACATAGAATAACAAGTGCGCAAGTTCATCCAATTTTAGCACCATCGAAATGTTTTAAACTATTTTTTGAAATGAATCAACAAAATCCAAGTTTACATTCTTGTGAGGAATTATTTTTTGAAAAATATTTAACAAAAAATTTTTCTGAATATTTTGGAAAATTCGAACCTTTGGAAAGTAAAAAGAATAAAAATGGTGCATCAAACTATATATTTATTGAGATGAAATATTAATACAATATCAATTATATATAGTACTGTAATTATCATAATTTAAATCTTAAATTTTTTTAATTTCTCTAATTTTCATATAATTTAAAGACTTGATATCGATATAATATTTGTAATTCATTCTGTCATTCAAAATATTTATTAAAACATATATTATTATACGCAATATTATGGTGAGTATAAATAGAGTTGCTAACAATAAGGGGATCGGTGATTACGAGATCCTATTACTAAAAATTTTTTTAGTGATGGTCTTATATATTTAATCATTTCAGTAAAAGCGAATTCATTAGTATCATTAGAATAAAATTTTAACGTTTTCAACTTATGACAAGAATTTAGGAATAAAATAATTTGAGAACTTGAAGAAGATTGCAGGTCCAAATGAAGAATATTTGGACAATTTACGGCGATTGAAGTTGAGATTTCTGACATATCATCCAGCATCGAACATTTAAAATGCAAAAGATTTTTTGCCGCTGCTTCAATTATTTTAACAATGAAAGGAACAAAAAATTGACGATTATGAGCATAATTAATGACTATAAGAT